AAAAGTCAAAGACCTGACAATCTTTCATCAGTTTCAAACTTTTGTCAGTTTGACTTTGGACTCTTTGCTCTTGACCTTGGCAAAGAATGGCCTTAGGTTGTTGAACTGCTTGGCACATTCACTCTTGATTGACTGGGTTTGTTCCAGAATTGCATTTATGTTAATTTTGATTGTTGTCTGAATATTTGGTACAACTTGTAAGATACTATAATAAAACTGGATCCAGTAGAATTATTCAGTCAGCTACTCTGGTGTAGGAAAGGCTTCCAGACATGTTCCTAGAACCTACTGTGCTGATCTGGCAAGTGTGAGGACAGGAAAATGAAAGGGCAGAGGTCATACCCCAATAAAAATCTTTCAAAGGGTGTCTGGCACTGGAAGTTTCTTGGCAGTAGAGGCAAAACAAGGTTTGAAATGTACAGAGCCAGAAGTTAGCCTGTGGAAAAAATATCCAAACTTTTAGGCTCATATACGAAGGAAACTTGACGGAGGTGTTCCCAAATTGAATGACAATTCTAAAAATGTATATTACATACCAATAATAAGTTGTAAAGCTAACGGAAACTATCCTATACTATCAACAATACATGCAAATTTTGATTATTAAAAGCTAAATCAAAAACTATTCTCTTTCTCGAAAACATTACAAAATTCTTCTCATATGATGAGGTGATCAAAGAACAGATAGACAAAAATGTGAGAGGAAGGAATTATAGAGGTAGTTAGGAAGATAATGAACACAAATATTATGTTATTTTTCTAGATTTTCATGATACTTATGGTATTTGTCCAATTTTTAAATTCTGTAATTTGCTGTGATTTATGTTCTCATTCTAAACAAAGATTAATTTTTAGCTTAATAATGTATCTATAATTATAAATTATTTTTCCTTAAGAGGGACCTCCAAGTTTTATAAGCTTTAGGTTCACAAACATGGATCTACTCTTGTAGATGACAACCTATTAATAAATGAAGAAAATTATTAGGGACAGCAGATATACTCTCAAAAGTTTACAAAACCTCAATATGACACAGCTGTGACTGGGGGGAAAAGAGATTAGACGAGTGATAGTGGTATTTTACTTGTAGTAGTTTTTGTCAACTCAAATGAAATATTCAAAAATTTAAACCTTTTTTTGTATAGCACCAACGAACACAAATCAAACGCCCACATATGGGCATGCTGGTCATGAATGCCACCAGCCATTTACAGTTGTCAAGGTTATCTATCTTCTGTGCCATTGTTCAACAATTTCCTGTGCATTTTCCTAAAGGGCAAGGACCACTTCAATGGATATGCGGTAGTCACCCATGTCCGGCAAAAATCCTATAATACAAATTCTGTTAAAATTTCTTTAATGTATTATTTTCATAATATTTTAGAATTCTTTTCTTGCTATTGTGTTATTGTTACTAATTTATAAGCAGTATTTTCATGGGCAGTGAACTTGACAGGAGAAGACAAAAAAACCCAAATGTGTCATGGAAACTAAGTGGCATTTCAGTCATAAAAGCACACATTGTGCAAAACTAAGTAGAAACACATCCTTCAGATAAACATAACTTCTTAACAATATTACCAGGGAGGATTTACCCTCATAAATGCTCATTATATTAATCCTTTGAACTTAAATTTTTAATTAACTTTGAAACCTACAATGTAAATTTGAAATATGCTGCCTTTAGAGATCATGTTCCAGTTAAGGAGTGGGGATAAACTAAAATCTAATAAAAAGATTCTCTTTCAAGATAATTTATTTAGTGGTTCTAAGTTCATTTCAATAGATGATCATTAGTTTAAAAAAAAACTTAAGAGTTGCAATTTTAAATATGTGTATTTTGTTTTTTCCTATTAACACACAATAGATGTGAAGCCAACAAAAATTACTAAATTATTAATATTTGGTCATGAAATTCAGAGCAAATGTATTCTAAATTATAACGTTAAATGTAAAAGGTTTTTGCCCTACATAGTGCAGACATTTATAACAATGTAAACAGAATTAAAAATGAGGCAAAATAAATTGTTATTTAAGCTTTATATTAACTAAAAACATAGATTAAGGAGTGAGGTTCTATGACAGTTAAAAAGAAAAGAAAGATCAATTATAGTGGATATAATTTTTTCCCAAAACTGACATACTCATTGTCAAACAAAGTAATCTAGAATGTGCTTTTCAAGATACTTCTTATGAAATTCATAACTGTATTTTGGTAGTAACTCATGACATTTCCAGTTCCATTTGATTCTACCTAAAATGTTCGACTCAGCAAAGAGGGAAACACACATCTAGATTCTACACAGTGATTCAAATACATACCTCTTCACTGTCAATGTAATCATGATTGTTTTGCTAATTCGTCAACAGAAGAGATGGAAACACTTTTTCAAAAAGCATCATTAATATATGTCCTGATTGAGATTGGCAGTGTTAATTATATGAGGTTTTTATCCTGTCAGCAGTTTCAAGACAATTATCCTTAGGTCTAAGTTCCAGATGAATGCTCTGTGCATATAGATACACATACATTTTGTACCCTAGAAGATCAGAAGAAATAGACTAAGGAGCAGGAAAAACATCAGATGATGAAAGAGCATAGAACTGGGTGTTATCCAGGCTTATCTCAGCTCATTTATTTTTTTAGCTCTTCTTCTCATAACTAGCTATAGATTCTTGGTAAGGCCATATATCCTGCTGGGATAATGAACTAGATGATAAGTACAAACTTACTGTTTGTATAGACTTTGAAAAACTAATTTTAACATTAATATTTTGAAGATGATATCTAAAATTTTTCCCTATCAGCACTGCTATGAAAAATTATGCAAAATTTAGAAATGAGGCAAAAATAATAAGTAGATAGCATGTTCTTTCAATATATACTGGGGGATTATTTAACAGGCTCACATAAGGATTATTAAATTATCTAGGGGACTGTACTTGTGTTTGACTTTGCTATTTACTATTAATTAAGGTCTCAGACTCTCTGAAGTTACATGTTAATTTTCTGTCCAAAAGAAATGACAACCCCAAACATTAAAATTCCATTGCCCTATTGGACAGTATTAACTGGTTTTATCTCTAATCAGAATGTCATTCCTGGTAGACAATGTAATTCATGTTCTTCTAATTTTCCTTTAAAGCAGCTTTGCCATCTTACTGGTTCCCTGAGTAATGACTCAAATACATTTTTAATATATGTTTCTTTTATATTTGTACAAGCATGCTATTTAAAACTTTTTCAAAGTTATTCTATGACAATTTAGGAGGTTCCACCGGTATGCCCTAGAAATGGCCTCACCTGCCAGAAAATTTAAGCAAAGGTACACTCTTCTTTGACCACAGGAATCAACCAGAAACAACAATAGAACTTGACAACAATAGAAATTTACCATCAGGAATAGTGCTGTGTTTCTCATTCTTATCCTAACTCTGTGTTTTTGTTTCTGGTCTCGCCCTACATGTTTGGTTCTTTTTCTGGTGTGCACATAGCACATAAATTATTTCCCAGTGGTAAGAGCAAGAAAAAATCTTTAAATTATTATGACCATTTTAACAATTTTGGTTTGCAAACACTCTATATCTCTCCCTGATTTTATTGACGTTAAGTATAATCTAAGCTTAATGCTTTTTTAAAAAGAAAATTTGGTTTTGTGTCCCTATAAATAGATTAAACTTTTAAATTTCTTATAAAGGTTTATGGCTAATATTTCTCCACCATAATGTTTAGGATTGTGAAAAATGTAAAATTATGTGTTCAACCAAAATGTTTTTATACCAATAATTACCTTCAGTAGTTTGCCAAGTTAAACATATTAATAATTAAGTAGAACAGGTATCTTTAGATGACTAGTGAATTTCTAATTAAAACAGAGTATTGAAAAATTGATTGACAATCTATCAAAACTATAGCATGACTATGTATTTGGGTCACTGTGACGTAAGTATTCATTTTTTCCAGGTTAAGAAAGTATAAAATCAATGAGTGTGACTATATGAGATTATGTGATGACATTTATGAGCTTTGCATGGCTGTTAAAACAATTGTGAATGGTAGACATATCTCAAATATCTATCTACATCTTAGCTCTGTTATCTCACATATGGGCGATTAATACTTTATATTAAGCAATAGGGACAAAAAAGTTCAACTGTGTAAGATGTGGAATATCTTCTGTTTATCAAGGAGAAATTTAAAAAAAGAAAGCAGTTTTCAAAGTATATTGTCTGGTTGCTTCATAATATGAAAAAATGTAGTGAAAGATAAAACCTGAATGTGTACAAGTTGCGTAAGGTTTGAAGAAAGTAAACTTTATTTAACTTTTTTTAATAATACCAGCAAATAATGAGCCTGAAAAGAAGTAATAAAAATAAAATGTATTAAATTTTGGCAGGTTGATGAACTTACTCATAACATAAAAGAGAGCTTGTAAATTCTTTGTTACAATATATTATATTAATGTAAATTAGATAATTTTTAATATATCTTAAAATGATAAATTGGATTTAGTCTGTTTGAAACAAAAGTTAGTAAAGGTTATTTTTTATCTTCTGTATAACAATTTCACATAGCAGGGATTCAGTTTACCACAATCACTTTCTATGCTTTGAGTTTTCTTTGGTATGTTCTTGATTCTGAAAGATATATGGTTCCTTACAATTATGTTACTTCTCTTATGTTTATTTAAAAATTGTCCTTATCTTTCTGAATTAACAGGTAGCCAAGCGATTGTTTCTCAGCGCTTTGATCCCATTGGCATCACGCGAAATCCCTACAATATTCCTTTTGATTTTGCTTTTCCAAGATCAGATCTTAAGTTTGGGGAGAGGGAAAATTGTACTCATACCATCACAACATAGCCCAGATATGCTGCTAACCGCAAGCTTTACCCTTAACAGAAATATATAAAGAGTGTAAAGGACAGGGAAAGGCAAGAAGCTTAAAGGGTTAAGGTGTTTTGAGGTAGGCATCCAAGAACAGACAATGTTTGACTTACCCTTATGTTTGATGTCTGGGAGATTGCCATAGCCTAGAAAGATACACCATGGTAAGATTAGGGATATGTAAAGCCTATGACTTTCTTTTCTAAAGTCATTATGAATGTGTACATGTGAACGTTTAGTATCTGAAAATCAATTCCCTTAAAGCTGTCCATGCAAAGCACTTGGAAAGCTGCCTCACATTCTACCCAAATTCAGGTTTGAAACACCACTGAACAATCCCTAAAATTCCATTTGGAATATTCAGATGTTTCTCTGGAGGCCAGGGCTTAAATATTTGGCAATGCCAATCTTTAAAAAAAAAAAAAAAGGGATAAAAAGCCTACCTAAAAGAGCATCATAATAATAAAATCTGCTGGCACATGGATAAGTCTCTAGTTAAGGTTTGGTTGCAAAAAGGAAGCTTCATTTCCAGCCCTAAATAATCCTAATTAACTATCAGGGTTATTTTATATCACTGTACCCTTACAAACAAAACCCCAGGGTCCAGAAAATTATTTTTTATTCAAGTTCCTAAAAAGCTACCCATAACTAAATTTAGTGAAGCATTTCTATGATTTGGGTTATTAAAATAATCAGATAAGTGAGAATTTATTTTACCTGCCCATATAGAAGCTAAATCTGTATATTAAGAGACAGGATTTAGCTTTAACTAAGGCATTTGTCTGTTCTTCGGCAATAGCTGACATGCTGATAGATTACTGAATTATTTCATACCATAAAGCTCTCATAATTCTAACATTTGTTTTGGTTGCATTTTCTTCTTATTTCCAAGAATAAGGTCAGAAAGGTATGTGGCACTTGTATTAATATCAACTCTCCTCTCAAACACAAATTTGTAGTAAACAATGGATAGAAAGTTCTAAAACAATATAAAAATGACATTGAAATGTTGCCTATGTGGGAAAAAAATGGTGTAACAAGTGTAATTAATTAACTAGTACCCAGTAACTAGCTTAATATTGGTCAACAAAATTTTAATGGCCACTCCAGTGAACAAAGTTGCTTACACCTATTTAGAACACAATAGTAGTTATAATCCCACTCCAAATTTAAAATCTCTCTAACTTTTATGAAGATTTTAGTACAGCTAGTAATGAAAGAGTCATAAGTTCCAACAACTGTCTCCTTTAAAGGCTGTTTCTTGCCAATATATCGAAGTTGATCTATTCAAGATAAAACCGTATTCAAAATTCTTTTGAAAGCATTGATGCATTTTGTTTGAGCAATAAATCTTTCAATTTTACCAGAAATTCAGTATTGAATCCTATGGTTAGGTCTTTTGTCATACTGTGTATTTAGTGAAACAAGATCAGTCCATCTCCCTATATATGCATGGGGACTGTACTGTAAAATTTTCTCATAAAACATTGAAAGCCTATGATAGAAAACACCATTAACTCAAGGCCCTACAAATTGAATTTGAGTGCAATTTTAAGTGACTTGTAAACTCAGGTACAGTAAGGATTTGTTTACATAATATTAAGAAGCCAGGAAAGCAGAAGTTTTATTCTACCTTCAACAGGCTCACTCAGTGTTCCACATGGTGGTGTGAATATTACATTCATTAGCACTATTTAAGCCAGTATAGAAGATATCTCCTCCTCAAAGATAAGAGTGGTAACACAGGTAGCAGAAAAATGCAACAGGAACATATTTTATAGGTATTAGGCATAATGGTAATAACTATTCAATCTGACTATTTAATCTGCAGGTCCTCAATTTACACAGCAAATCTATGTTCTATGGCTTATCTCTGATAAAAGCTCCTTATGTTAAAACATTCCAAGCCTTTAGACAAAGCTTCATGTCTTTAACCAATTACAAGCCAAAGAATCTTTAAACCCACCTATAACCTGTAAGCCCTGCTTTGAGATGTCCCACCTTTTGGGGCCAAACCAATGTATGTCTCCCACGTATTGATTGATGACTTTACCTGTAACCCCCCGTCTCCCTAAAATGTATAAAAACCAAACTGTAACCCACTCACATAGAGTCCACTGCTCAAGACTTCTTGAGCATGGCTCCGGGTCATGGTCCTCAAATTTGGCTCAGAATAAACCTCTTTAAAATAAAATTAAAAAATGATAGAATAAAATAATTATTCATTTTATGTTGTCTTTACAGTTATTTCTAAAATGTATACAAAAAACACATGCTATGGATTTTGACGTGTCATATAGCAATCTCTTACTGCCCAAGATTAAAATGATTTAATTAAATATGACAATGATTTTAAAATCAATGACAATTTATTTCTATAAATATATGAGAGAAACTATAGTAGTTGGCCATTATAAATAGTCACCTATTTCATTTATGTTTCATAAATTAATATAGATGTTAATATCTTGGAAAGTCATTCATCTACCAAATATTAGATAACCACTCTTTGCTGCATGTTTCATACTTTGTCCTTGAGCTCATTACTGTTTAAGGTAATATGTTAGCCCATTTTCTCCTTAATTCGCCTGTTATCTATAGTTCAACTTTATGAACAGAAATTATTTTCTTTGTTTTATGTATGAGGAATAAAACTTAGAAATGTTAAGCTGATTTTAAGGTTTATTTCAAAGCTATGTCTTTTTTACTGCCCTAAGTTAGAGAGTACTGTGCGGGGGTAACACTTTTTGGTTCGTTCACAAAATGGATTACTTCTTGCAATGAACCAGGCACAAAATTATGTTCTGAGGCCACAATACACCAACATAATCCTTGCCTTCATGTTGCTTACAATCTCCTCTAAATAACATGGTCTATTAAGGTATTATTAGAAGAGAGGTTTAATGCTTGTAGGTGGAGTGATAAATCAAGATATAAAGGAAAAAATGAAGATTCAATATAAAGCAAGATCTCTGAAGAGGAAGGAAAAGAAAGAACACATGGTCCAATGGGAAGGAAGAACTTTGCATTGTTGAACTACAGTATGATACAAATATCACCCATGTAACACAGATCAATGGGGAGTACATGTGCTCTGTTTCTCAAAGATGCTTAAAAGATTGAAATGTGTATTAGTCTCAGACTAACTAGATTAGAACTAATAAACTTATTATACTGGTTTTAATTTGTGATCAGTGTACTTGATTCATTCAATATCATAGACATTACAGAAATTGTGGTAATGAAGATTTATTATCTAGAGCTGTGCTCTCCAATATTGTAGTCACTAGCCTTATCTGGCTATTTAAAATTAAATAAAATCAAAAATTCAATAGTTCTTCAATAGAACTAGCCATGTTTCAAGTACTCAATGGCCTCATGTTGCCTATGGTTACTATATTAGGACATCGTATATTATAGAACATTTCTAACATCACAGAAAATTCTAATGAAGGTACAGACAGAACTTAAATGTACTAAAATTTAGAGAGGTTTAAAATAGTGGAAATACAAACAGGACTTTATATGTTTTGTATGACTAACAGGTAGAACTTAAAAAACAGCAACAATAATGGTCTGTTCAGCAAATCCTTCACCTAAAATGGTAATGATTCCACTGGCAGAATACACAATGAGAAATAAAGTAGGGCAGAAAGCTTCATGAAGTCTTTACAATGTGCACGTGGGGCAGAACACAATATCAGGAAAATCAGGCTAAAATGAAAACATTTTAAATACTTAAGGATATTCTGGGTCACTTAAATTGGAATGCTCTACTCAATCCAATCTGGGTCTAGTTTCCTAAAACCTGAAGATGCTTGAACTAGTAGGTAGCACACCAAAAACAAAACAAAACAAAAAGCACTAGTATTATTATTATCTTTCAACATTGTAAATGTTTTCTCTTGCTTCTATTTTCTAACAGTACACTACCTCTTCTACAACTTGGACAAAAATGTTAGAAAAAGAGTTAATTTTGTGAAAGAGAGAGAGAGAGCCTAAGAACCAGAAATTTCAAAATAATGAAATCACAATTAAAAATTACGAATTCATGCCTTATGTAAGAGAAAGCAATAAACTATGTGCTAAAGACAAAACATTAGTTCTAGTACATTAGAAAAGGAATCCCCAGATTGTCCTGTCTTAAATTATGTGACAAAGAACCAAACTATTTGTATCTACTAGCAATAAATTAGATAGTCACATAAGGATTAATTGCAAAATTGACCCTTGAAACACTGCCCAGTAGCCCAATTTTGAACAATAACTCAAACTTGGTCTTCTACCAAGGAATTTTTAGTAAAGTGAATCCAAACGGTTTAATTTCTAGGAGAGATATACTGATGTGAGGTTTCCTTTTTACAGATGTTTCCAACTACTTACCCACCCCTTAATATGTGCATATCCTGTATTTTTCTCAAGGGTCCAGCACCCCTTGGGAACATAAGAAGATTGTGCAGTCTGTATCCAAGTTTTCTAGGGATATCAGGTTTCATAATAAAATAAATTTTTTATTCCTCATGGGTTCAAGAATTTGATGAAGAGAAGGTGTTGATTATATAATTGATATAGACAGAGATTTCAGCCCTCGGTTATATTTTTTCACTTTTACTCAGCCTTCCTATTAATTTTTAGTAGTCTCTTAATCTTTATTCTCTAAGCTCTAATCTCCCAAGAAAATGTGTGCTCTGGAAAAGAATGACATCATTTAGGTGAGTATATTACCATCTATTTTTCATGCAAAATTATATTTAATGTACAAGGTGAAATAATTTAACTCCCAATGTGTGCAATGCTTTGTTCAATGTTGAAATCAGAAAAAATATTTAAAGATCATACTATTTCTGCCAATTTAACCAATAATGTATTCAATTTCTTCAACATCTTTCATGCTGAGTTCCCATACAAAAAAAATTAAAAGGAAAGAAAAGTTCAATGGCAAGATTAGAACAAAACGAATAAAAGAACAGTTATAATTCTACTCACTCTTTCACTTAGTTTCTAATGCACTAGTGGGTGATTTATAATAAATCTGAAACTATGTGAGGTGAAGTTCCCTTTCAGCCAATTATACCTTCACTTGAAAATGGTCCGTGGAGGAAAGACAACTTTTTAAAAAGTGTAGTTAAAAGATAAGGAGATATTT